CTACACTCCACTTCACCAACTTCCCAGTACTGCACTTGTCCTGAATCACAAGGTCCTGAATGATTTCTTTCCACATGGCCCTGACCATTTCTGCTGCATCATGGAAAGCATTGGCCCCATCAACCAGCTGACTTTTGAGTGGGCCCTCGTTGTATATTTAACATAGACACTAAATAAAGTGACGGTGGTGACGCACTGGCAAATCCAAACAATGTGGATGACGTAAATTGATAGCATTCGGGAAATGAAAAGACATACCTTGACTATTAGCACATTATCTGTTCAGAAACATTGTAGTCAATCTTACTTATTCTCCCATCTGCATTTCATTTGTGTTAGACTGAATTCACCAGCTGTTTTGTTTGTTCACAGCATATTTTTGGTGGCGATTGATTTAGAATTTGTATGTAACCAGAAACTGTCTTTTTTTAGCCGGTTGATGTATTTTACTCGGCAGGACTTGTGTAAACTTTAAAGCAAGTTCAAAGAGTTTTGTTGTTATTGCAGCTATTCTTCTTTTGTATTTCACCACACATAACATTTCATCCCCTGCTGATAGATTTGTATGCAGGCAGCCATCCATCCCTAATACTCCATGGGGTACTGACAGGCATTACTCACTTTTACCCTTCTATACATTACATGTTACTTGTTAGACGCTTTTATCCAAAGCGACTTACATACTCAATACTGTGGGCAATCCCCACAGGAGCAATTTGGGGTGAAATGTCTTAGGGACACAACAACATGCTGACTGCAGTGGGGTTTGAATCTGTGCCTCCTGATCCGAACACCAACGCGCTAGTCCACTGCGCCACACGCCTCCCTGTAGATAGTGAGCGGTGTCTGCTGCAGCAAACGACTATAAGATATGTGTGTGAATTATTCATGCACCTGGAGTTAAGCTGTGTTTATAGTGATGCACATGGGGAAGACACTTTGCTGAAGTAAAGTGTCAGCAATAAAATGCAACATAAAGAAGATGGAATTCTGTCCACATCTTGACTGAAGCATTTGAGCTGACGTGACGTGAAGACGGCACATATATTCAAGACATTGTATGCGGTTATATATATATTTTTTTTAAATGCAACATCATGTTCGTATGCAAATCATTTCAAATTTCGAGTCAGCATCAGCTCCTTGCATGCTTTTAAAACCAAATTGTCTACAATTCAAATTCAAGTCGTCATTTTGTGAACAATAGTTATCCAGGAACAGCCGTCTCGTGGGTAAAACCATTACAAAAATGAAAAAACACCACTCCTGTTTAGCAACGTTTTGCAGTTGTCTTTTTGACAGTATAAAGTCTCACCTTTCTTGAATAGCCATCTATTCCTCCAAAGATATTTACCCCCGAGCCTTCTTTATAAACAAAAATGTGTATTTCCTGGTTCACGAACAACGTGACACAGACATAGATGGATCATGTGGAAGAGGTAGGATATATCTCAGTCTATGGGAACAGACAGGCTAATTGGCTAAATGAGAATCTACCTGCTGCTACCAGAGCTTCTTCCTAATACAGACTTTTCCCTTTATATAGTCATATGCCCCTCAGCCTCGTATGCTTGTCGTCTCTTGCTCTCATGGGAGCACGCTCTGCGAAAGCACCCTCCAGCTGATCTTTCAAAGCCCACCCCGCTGTACAAACGGATTTCCACTGACTTATTTTGACTTCACTTGACAGCAGTAGATCCGGATCAAGCTGTGAGACATAAAAGAGACTAATGTGGGACAACATTGAGCCACTCTCCTGGTATATATAGTGCTGTTTTCCCAGAGCTGCGAGCGCATGGTATTCTGTGAGAGAAACAGGATCCTAGCACTGAAACAAGCCAGCGGTCCCTCAGCCAAACGCCAGTCAACATGCTTCTCAGACTGATCGACCCCACAACGCATCATTGCTCAATGACTTCTTGGCAAAAACATCACAATGAAGACACAACTTTTGCTTGTTTTGAAGCAGAATGCGCATCAGGAGACATTTCTATTCTTTCATAAATTGTACTGTACATATACATTTGCTTTAACTCTTCAAAACAATTCACTCAACACCAATGCTCTCATCACAATGTCAAGAAAAGAGGTCTGTATATGCGCGAACACTACTAGTTTCAAAAGTGAAGTCATTTCTATAAATGTACCAGTGATGGATAATTGAAAGTCTCTCTTTTATGTTGGACCAAAACTATACAGGCATATGTCCTTTAAAATCTTCCTCTATATTTTTCTGTCCTTCTACAGCTGAATAGAAATTAGTCTGTCCTTTTAAAATGTAGACATTTCAAAATATATATAAACTAATGTATGAATCTGTCATGGGTCACCTCAACCACTGATCACACTAGCCCAGGGAAAGACCAATCGGGAATTCTGATTACCCTGATTCAAGTTTCACTTTACCCTGATCCAAATATGTAACATGACACTTTATGTATTCCTGTGGACTTTTCCCTTGGCACCCCAGCACAGAGCTTTAATGTGTGCTCAAGGACACTTCAGCAGGCCTTTGGTTATTACGAGCAGCCACCGCAGAATGACAGTTACGACCCATGAACTTCTCACCAAGCGTCCCCTGATATCATGTGACGTTTATCTGTTGTGAAGCATGATATGATATGATTTCAATATGAGAACAAGGAACTGTGAGAAAGTTCTGTTCATCCAAATTCAAAGCATTACCTATGAGCAACGTTCCCCTCTAAATTCAGTTCTTTGTAGTCCTTTTCAATTATTTACTAGTAATACACAAAAACACACACACACACACACACACCGCTGAGCTCTCCCCATTGATGAATCAAACGCATTTAATAAAGCCTCACAGCCAGACCTTCTAATCCAACCTACAGCTGGTGAAGCTCAAGGTGCCAAGAGGTTTATTAAACCGTGTCTCGTCTAATGATCCGTGCCCCACTACCCTCAAACTGTCAATCACTCTGAAAGAAATTAAAAGGAGTTTGCAGCAAGGTGTTCTGTTGCAGATAATCTAAAGATATTTCATATAATGCATTGTGTTTATGCTATGCACTGTCTAACATCGCATGCTATTCGTCAGATTTCTTCAACCAAAAATAATTGTGTGACAATAATAATTGGAGATGTTGTGCATTCCCGCCATGTTTACCCACTATTGTTATGGCCATATAGACCAGTGGTGCCCAAGACTCAATCTAAAAGGGGTTCAATGAGCTAAAAGAAAACATATATTGTATATATATATATATATATATATATATATATTGTATTGTTAAAATACAAAATGGCAATCGGATACCAATTTCCCTTAAAGCAACTTATATTATTTATTTATTTGAATTATTATTGATATTTCTTGACCTGCTTAACGTCTAGCAAGCCAAATCCACCCTCGTGGCCCAACTTTGGGCAGCCCTGATATGGATGAATTCATACAAAGTACTTCAACTCATATGACCCTAGGCCATTCCCCTTGCTGATCAATCCGTTGGTCAGCTGCCTTGTTGTTGGTTTACGGCAGATTAGCCTCACCAGAAGGCTGTGCCCCCCCGCCCCGCTATCGTACGTACTTAAACAAATTAACCTGTCGCATGCCAAACCCCAAGCCTTTTAAAGCTGCATCTGGAGCGTGCTGGGGGACCTTCTGTCAGCCCAAATATTTACTCACAGGAGGGAGGTTTGTGGGAGGAATGCTAAAACACCTGTTGGTTCCTTTAATGTGTATTGTAGTCTAGTACATGTCAGTAGAAAAGGTAGAAAATGGCAGCTCTATGTCCCTATTAATGCCACTGTAAGCTCCATTTATTCATAACCTGTGAGTAACTGCAAACCTTGCTGCATGCCGATGATAGGTGGGAGCTGTGCTAATCCTTTTTCTTGGTAACATCTCTTTTTTACTTTGCTGACCACTACATACCAACACATCATCAATGTCAGCGCAGGACTTCCTGTCGGAGCGTGTAATTATATCTTTGGAAAAATGGAAATGAATACTGTCTGAGTTTTACAATTAAAGTCAAGTAAAAATGCTTCATTGGCCTGACATTTTACTGTTAGTACGTTGCCAAACTGAGGCCTGTAACTTGACCTCCTCCCTCCCTGCCTGTAGGAACTGTATGACACTGCTGCTCATGGACACGCTGCCCTTTGGAAATTCCCTGGCTGCAACCAATACTACCCGTCATGCAACACCAGGTCCACTCAAGACAGTATCACTGCACAGGAGCGCATGAATTATAACCGCAGCTTTGAAGTGGTGGGCAGTTTGACCACGGGGTCCGTTACTGCCGCCAGGGCCGTATCATGTTTAACCCCGGTCAGCAGATTCTATTGAGCAGCGTATGGTGGTTTACTGTAAGTCTGAAAAGTTTGACTTTGAGCTCAAATGCATGTTTTTCAAAAACAATACACAGTGTCATGTGAGACCAAATGACTGTGTTGATTAGGTCTTCTGTCTCCCTGACAAATAAATGAAACCCAATTAAAGCACATTCACTCCAGTTAGATTAGGATCAGCAGACATTCCCTGTGACCCCCAGAGCCTCCTGTAGTCTTTGTTCTAGCATCTAATCTCTATATCTGTCTGATTAGCAGCAATCTTGCAGAAAAGCTGCCACAATGCAGATTACTTTCCGCTCATTTAGAGCCTATTCTATCAACTTAAATTAGACATTTCAATGCAGCAATTGTTGATAGTGGGCTGCAGAACAACAGAATAGTATAAAATCCAGAAAAGTTTTAAAATGCATTATTAATGAAAAGCATGTATAATTTTAAAACATTTATAACCCCTGGCTTATGATATTTCCAAACATATAGCCATATAAATTCGCATTCAAGATAGATTTGTGGGTGATACTCATAGTGCTGACTAACCCTCAACACACAGAAAGGAACCTTTTAGCATTTGCATATTCCCCTCAAACTGAAAGAGATGAATATATGCGTTTGTCAGGGCATGCACACACAAACATATCCCCTGTCACACACAACCTCCCGCTGCCCAGCTCCAGTCTTACCTCTCACAGCGACGCTTTAGCCCACTGTGCTGCTGTGCCTCTGCAGTGCCACTGGCCGTGCCTTCAGCCTGCCGGCTCAGATGAAGCGTTATCCTGAGTGAGAATGTTTGCTCTGCTCCCAAAATGCTTTTCCTCTCCTGCGGCGCGTCCTCAGCTGGCCCTTTGGTACAATCCAGGTGGTCTGATGAGGTATGAGAGAAGAAGAGGAGGAAAAGGAGCGTGTCCTGACTGAATGATCAAGCTGCTTTCTGTGTGTGTGTGTATGTGTGTGAGGCTGGGGACCGTGACGACAGACTGTGTGTGTGTGTGTGTGTGTGTGTGTGTGTGTGTGTGTGTGTGTGTGTGTGTGTGTGGTGTGTGTGTGTGTGTGTGTGTGTGTGTGTGTGTGTGTGTGTGTGTGTGTGTGTGTGTGTGTGTGTGTGTGTGTGTGTGTGTGTGTGTGTGTGTGTGTGTGTGTGTGTGTGTGTGTGTGTGTGTGTGTGTGTGTGTGTGTGTGTGTGTGTGTGTGTGTGTGTGAAAGAGAGCGCAGGGAGACACGACCTGCCATGCAGATATCAGCCCTGCTTGCAGTTAAATTTAAACCACCCTCCCTTCTGACACTGCTGCCCTCCCTCTCCAGCACACACACACACACACACACACACACACACACACACACACACACACACACACACACACACACACACACACACACACACACACACACTTGGACGTCAGTACACACAGAGCTGTGACGGAACCATATGGCCCTTGACAGAAGACTGAGCCCCGAGGAGTCCGATACTGTCCCTGAGAGGAAGAGAGAGGGAGCAGGGGGTGGGGTGGCAGATTTGGATATTCGTCGTCAGTGAGGAAATATAATGAAAAATTGCACTAAAACGTTGTGATTTTACGTGAGTGAGTATTTATATATTTGTGAGAATGTATGAGATCTGAGAATAGACTTAGACGATTACACCCCATTGTGACGTCAAATTTCAAGAGGGCCGTGAAGTTGTGAGTAGAATAGGTAAACCCCCCCTATGAAACCCCCCTATGAAATGGAGAGTAGGCATGAGTGGTGGTGGTACTGAGAAGAAAAGAATGCTGAAGATCTGGATGTGATGAGGACTTCTGGTGAGCCCAACATGGGCAGTGTGTAGTGACCAGAGAAGGTGAATAGGGTTAAGGAGGGCGTGACGAATGACGATGAATGACAGCTGACAGGAGCAGAGTTTGACAGCAGCGACATGATTGGCTGATGGAGGCACAATTTGGTTGGTTTAACTAAAAGAGTAAACACCCATAAGAAGCGGGAAGATGTAGATAGTGAGAAAGAGCAGAGATTGAAAAACGTAATAAACCAGCTAACATGATTCATGTGATTTTCTAAGGGATGCATCAAGGTTATGTTCTTGGTCTTCGTGGATTTTTCTTGATATAAAAAAGAGTACTATAACAATTTAGCATGGGATCATTGTCAACATCGCGATGGACAGTTTAAAACAAAACACAACCAGAGACACTGTCAAAATCAGGTGCCTCTACCCAGGGCCGGCCCTTGGCATCGGCAGTATAGGCGAATGCTAAGGGCGCATCAAGCCAGGGGGGCGCCGAAAATTGGGGGAAATATATATATATATTTTTTTTTTAAATGTAATTGTGATTTTTTTTTATTTAAATAAAACAATTTCCCGATTTTGGATCAACAAAGTACATCTTATTATCTTATCTTAACAGAACTACGTCTATATTGCGTACAGAGCCCATACACTATGGCGCCCCCCCCCCCCCCCCCCTTAATTCAGGTAAGTTGAACTGCCCCAGCCCCGCAGGCTGTTTATGTCCTCAAGGAGCGAGGGGGGCGGGTCAAGTGTCACTGACTGACACTTGACCTGCCGCCTTTGACCTGCTGTGACTCTGGAGAAGAAAACAAAGACGGTAATTAGCATGTCGAAAAGAAGAAAGTTATCTGGTGCCCAGGGAAGAAAGAAAAGAAAAGAGGAGGAGGACAAACGGGAGAAAGACAAAGGTACAGTAACGTTAATGTGATGATGATTAAACAAAGTCAAACAATTGATTGTAGTTACCGTTGATGGAACAGTTTTAACTTGCTAGCTTACTTTTAGACGATAGCAAGGTCGTTTGTTTGCTAATCAATAGTTACATTTAGAGTTAACGTCAATTATTACCGTTACTCCCACCTTAAAATCAGGGACATTTAGAAAGAGTTACATCACCTGCTATATATCATCTACTATATCTGTTGAGGTGAGCCAATGTTTGCCCTGCTTGTAGTAATAGCCTAATAATGATAGTCATTAAAATGCTATTCCTTTTACATCCCCTCAATAATTTATAGTTGTAGGCCTTTAATTGTATTGCCTTACAGTTTATGCTGTCTAAAGTATGTTCAATAATCAATAGTGTAACGTTTACATCAGTGTTAAAATGCTTGTCACTACTGTAAATACTGCATACCTTAGCCTTTATCTTTAATATGCTATATTACAATGTATGTAGCTGCTTCTTTGCCATCTGGTAAGTCGCAGAATATGCAGGTGCATCTAAAAGAATAACTATATCATAGAACTGTTTTTCTTTAATTTAATAAAACAAATTAATCATATATTCTAGATTCATTATGCATGAAGTGAAATATTTCAAACCTTTTTTGTTTAAATTGTGATTATTACAGCTTACAGATCATGAAAATCAATAATTCTGTATCTAGTATAATATTAGATAAGGATTTATAATACAGATATTTCGATCTTCTGAAAAGTTTATTCAAATATGTACTCAGTACTTGGTCGGGGCTCCTTTTGCAGAGATAAATGCATCAATTCTACATGGAGGCAATATATTCCATGATATTCTAATTATTTTGTGAGCTGCTCCTGTTTTCTGATTTCTATAATATAATTTGGTCTAGCAAATATAATGCATCTCTTGATGGTCACATATACTTCTCTTCTCTCTCCAGATGCACTATTGACGTTTTTTGGGCCTCATACCACCTCAGCAGAGCCCAGCCCTGCAGCATCAAGCGCTCCTGTCCCTTCCACCTCAGCAGAGCCCAGTGATACAGCATCAAGCGCTCCTGTCCCCTCCACCTCAGCAGAGTCCAGTGATACAACATCAAGCGCTCCTGTCCCCTCCACCTCAGCAGAGCCCAGTGATACTGTTAGGATCTGTCTGTGTTGTTGTTTTGTCTTGTCTTTTTCTATCTTTGGGTTTCCTGTTTTATTTTGTAAAGTGTTCACCCCCGTTTCCTGCCTGTTGCTTTCTGTCTGTTTTCCCTCCCTGATTACCCGATTGTGTTCACCTGGTGCCTCTGTGTTTTCTCCTACCTCCTCACCTGTCTCGTGTTTGTTTGATTAGTCCTGGGTGTATTTAAGTTCTGGTTTTTCTGTCTGTCTTTGTCGGTTCGTCTTGTGTTTTGAGTAATTCTGCGGTGAGTGTTCTGTTCTGTGTCTAGATATTATAGCCTTGAAATAAAGGAATTCTTTTTGTCACTTAAGTCTGCATTTGGGTCCTGTTTCCTACACAAACCGTGACAGAACGAACCGACCAGAAATGGACCCAGCAGATGCAGTGGCGTTTTCTCCCGGAGGCCAAGGGAAGCCAGGCTTCCCCTGTTTTTTCGGATTGTAGTTATAATTTAAATAAATAAATACAAACACTTTGTTTTGTTTCGATAATTCTCCTTTGCTGTGTGTTGCTGCCGGCCCGGCTCTCCCCCATTCTCATTGAGTATTTTACAAAGAGTGAAACAAACAGCGCCCCTCTAGATGTTATGGTGAAACAGTAGATTGCACTCACTGTTGCGAGAGGAGGCCAGCCGAATCTAGCTTCCCTTGGTGAAAAAAAATGGAGGGATTGACCAATCAGATGAGGCCCACGTGATGCCCCTGCCAACCTGTGATTGGTCAGGGCCATGCCAAGGGAAGCTAGCCGCCTCTTGCTTCCCTTCAGAGGCGGCTGGCGGCTGGCGATTTGATTGGACACTGCCATCCAATCAAATCACATCAACATCAGTTTTAATACTGTAACTGTCATCACCGCCGTTAGAAATTATCAAGCAAATGAAGCATTATGGAGGGTGGAGATTTGGCGTACTTAATCAAACATAACTTTACTAAACTTCCGCTACAGCAGCAACTAAAAATTAAATCAGATGACAGGCAAATGCCCGCACTCGAGCTGTGTGTACGCAGAGGAAAAAGGGAGAGAATCGGACGTTCAATGAGGACAATTATGTCCGCACGGAGTGGCTAACTGGAAGCGCTAAACTTCAGCGTCTAATTTGCTGGCCATGTCTTCTTTTTGACAAGGATTCGTGCTCCCTGAACAATCCTTGGGCAACTTCAGGATTCATCGACCTTGCCAACCTGTCACGGGCAATTGAGAGGCACGGTAAATCCAAAAATCACATAGATTGTGTGATTGTCTGCATACATTAATAAGTAAAATGCTTAAATTAATAAGGAGAGAGTTTCAGCTGGAGAGTGCGTGCGGACCTGTCGGTTAGATAACAGGCGTGTGCAAGTCCTGCATCTGTGTGATACCAATGTGTGTAAAATGATACCGGGCGCTGTAATCACTCATCTGGTTACGTTATTGACCACCCCCCGACCCAAAAAATGGGCTTCCCCTACATTTTCCCCCACGCCACGCTACTGAGCAGATGATCAATTTGAGGTGGAGCTACAGCATTTTTCCTTTTGTTTGGCTTGCTGCTGTGATTGGTGGAGTGGAGCGTCCAGTGTTCGGCAGAGGGAGGCCGCTCTGGTAGAGGCGCACCGGTTGGCTATGGAGAAACCAGACTTGGTGAAGTTCTTGCCTGGCTGGATTTTGAACTTCCTCTGGGTGTGTGATTTCCAGCCTGCTGACTACAAACGTCTCGGTGTGGTCCGTCTGGAGTCAGCCAGTGCTTCTGCCCCAGTTCCTGCTCCTGTCCAGGAGTCGTATGCTGGAACTCGTCTGGCTTATGGAGGTCCACGGAGCTTTCCGGCGGCTGCTAAGAGAAGGAGGCGCAAAGCCAAGCTAGCAGCCATGCCTCCATGCTCCAGTACCGGCCCACGCAGCTTTGCGTCCATACTGGATTACCTGGCTTACACAGCCAGGGTCCAGGCTTCCGCGCCGGACCCAGCAGCCATGATTCTGGCTTCAATTCCGGCTCCAGAGCCGGCCCATTCAGCCATGTTTCCGGCTCCAGAACCGGACCTTACAGCCATGTTTCCGGCTCCAGAACCGGACCTTACAGCCATGTT